CAATCACTTGGTCTAATCTCTTTCACTTTAAATGAGAAGAAACTGAGGCCCAGTGAGGACCAGCAGTTATGGGGCTAACTGAATCAGCTCCTAAATTTTTACTCCTCAGAGGCTGTGGGTGTTTATTCCGCTGCTGGAATCACAAACACTGAATGGCTAGATGTACATACTTGCTTAGCATAAGCTATGAACAATGGAGAACTACATATGGAATAAACATCAGTGTGGGTTCAATGACATAGGAGATGAGAGTTCCCGTGCTGATTTTGCCTATAAACAATCAAACTTATGGGATACTGCAGGATAAATGTACATTTCCTAAATAGGAACAAACTCAAAGGTTTCCATAACTGAAATAAAACGTAGTTACTACACACTGTATTAGCTAAGTAACAATTTACAAGTAGAACTTAAATGACATAGGGGGTCTAGAACTCCTTTTTTTTTTTCTTCTTTCTTTCAGGTTTTTGCCCTAGGTCTCCTGCACTCACCAGAGAGAGATATCTAGGGGGAAAGTGAAAACTCTCCCCCCCTACCCCCACCAGGATGGTCATGTTGCAATCCCTTCTCCTCCATTGTCTTCTGGAGATTCTGGACACACACATGTGCACACATACATGCATGCCTGGTATGATTCTTAAGCCACCAGGTCTAGGACTTGAATGACAAAGTTGGTCATGTGGGAGTCCACTGCCTTAAATACCATGGTACCTGCTAACTCCAGGCCAGATATTCCTTTGTCAGGACTAATATTCTTTTAAAAGCTAAAAGACAGACAACACAAGTATAATAATTTGAGTGTAATACCAGATTCATACTCACATAAAAACAGAACAGAGAGGGAACCTATAAACTAACTTATTAGTTTCTTTGTAATGGGTCAAAGTCAATCAGATAACCATGCTAATACCCTATGACTTAGATAGTTACAGTAGAATCTCTGGGGTGGGGGCCAGCCTGTGTGGTAGTTGAGGTGCCTGGATCCCATAGGACCAACCACACTGTTTGAGACTCAGACAAGGCAGTTTGAGAATCACACTGGGCACTATGTGTAGGTCAAAAATCCTGAAAAGAGGGAGAAATGTAGAAGGGATTGTGCTGTGGGGACCAGAAGATGGCATGATGGTTACGTTGCAGGACTCCCACATGGCCAACAGTGGTTCCAGTCCCTGACCTGGAGGCTTGAGATGCATACCAGGCGCATGAGCATGCCCAAAGTCCCAAGATGAGAATGGAGGAGGGGAATTGCAGTGTGCTCATCCCCTCTGGGGAGGTGATTTCTCACTTTTATCAGAGACAAAAAGTCTCTGATAGCAAAATTCTCTAAAAAGGAGAAAAAAAAGAATGGATTGTAGTGTGATTATCCCCCATGCAGGGTGTTTTCACCCTTTCTGTCTCTCCAGAGAGCACTGATAAAATTACTAAATAAATAAATAAAAGAGGTGTTCTGGAGAGGGTCCTGAGCACCAGTGCTTTGTAAACTCCCCCAAGTGATTGCAAAGGATTCACTGCTCTACAGGGAGTTAGTCCAAGTGCTGACTATCAAATGCTGACAATTAAAGCAGGATAAACTAACCAGGCATTCTAGAGTACAATACCCTGAAATGTCACCCAATTAAATACAAAGCCATAATTTTAACGATTTGTATTTCTAAGTCAAATGCACCTAGATTTGACTTTCCTCTCTTCTTCAAATACTTCCAGAACAGAGGGACTTTCCCTTTGAAGTTCAGGTGTTTTCCCCCTAATATACTTCTTGTAAGCAGGAAATACAAACTTACTGAGAATGAGAAAACCTCATCTCTATTCCTCCACTCTCCTTGGTTGGCCTTCTCCAAAAAAAAATAAATAGATTAAAAAAAAAAAAAAAGACTCACTTCTCTTAAACGTTTCAAAACAAAATAATTAAAATGAATCTTTGGGTAAACAACCATGAAACTCAATGAGGTACTTCCTTTTTTTTAATAGTGACAGACTCAGGGCCTATCATGGAAATAGCTGCATAGTTTTGAGCTGCCAAATCACTCAGAAGTGACATCACAGAGGGGCTGCCTCTGCCCTACTGGAGTTCTGAACAGCATGCACCCCGCTAGCCATTTGGCACCTGCCTGTTGAGCTGCGGAGTGGCAGCTTTTTCCAGTGTGTGAACTCTCCCTAATTATATAGCAACCTGACAATTTGCTTGGCCTAATTGGAGTCGTTATCAGCCCCCACTGAGGACACTCAGTAAACAATAATGCAAAAGACCACTTTAACCATCCTGAGGCTTGGTATTTCTCCTAAGGAAAATATCAGGGGCAGTGGTTAGATGACTAAATTTCTAAGAAAAGGGTAACTCTCTCTACCATGAAAGGATTAAATCTATAAAGGAGTCATGAAAATAAACATAAAAAACCTCCCGGCTGACAAATGCTATTCAGCCCCATTCCCTCTAGAAGACATTCAGGCAGTAAAGGGAATGAAATCAACACTCCCTCCAGTTACATACTGACTCATTCCAAGGAGGAGGCCAGTGGGAAGACTGCTAGCCATGTGCCTTTCAGGTGTTGCAGTACGCTTGTTCCTCAATATAAATGATGTGGGAATTCTAGTTCAGCAATAGGAGGAAAGGAAGTACAGTATTCTCTCCTCATCTGCCAGGGATACAGTCTAAGACCTGCCCCAGATGCCTGAAACCGTGGTCGGTATCAAAGATTATATGCTATGTTTTTGGTTCTTTTTCCCTGACACAGCCATACCTATAATAAAGTGTCATTTATAAACTAGTTAAAGTTAAAGTTAACTAGTCACAGTTAAAGATCAATGATCACTACTAGTAAAACAGAATTATAATATACTGTAATAAAAGTTATGCAAATGTGCTCTGTCAAGATATGTTTTTGTACTGTCCAATACTCACCTATTTTTGGACGGCGCTTAACCATCCCTAATACACTGGGAAAACAAAACCACCACACGGGGAAGCTACTATCCTCATACATACCACACAGATGAACCTCAAAAGTGGCATAAGTGCATGATTCTGTTTATAGGAAATGTTGGTAAGAAACAGGAGGTAGAATAATGCCTCCTTAGAATTGTGAGGTGGGAGAGGGGAATGAGGAATTGATTGTCAGTGGCCCAAAAGGATCATTTTGAGGGGGATGGAATGGAAATGTTCTAAAATTGGATTGTGTTGGGCCTGCTGGTGGGTCTGGTGGCTAAGGGAGCCAGATCCCATATGGGCAACAATAAAATTCAAATCCTGGTTTCGGCTGGCTCGAAAAACACTCCAGCCCTGAATGCGGTCCAAAAATCAAAAAAGGATGGAGAGGGACCAGCAGTTGGCATAATTGCTATGTCACTGGACTCCCATGTAGTTGACCGTGGTTCGAGTCTGGGACCCAGTGGCTTAAACTCACGCTGGGCGTGTGTGAGTGCGTGCCCAGGATCTCAAGAGAATGGAGGAGAAGGGATTCCTGGGGGTGTGATTTCTTGCTTTCTGTCTCGCTGACTTTCTGGCGAGCGGATGTGCCCTATAGCAAAAACCTTTCCAAAAAAAAGATGAAATGGAAAAGGAGGGGTTGTAGTTGACTACACCCTATGGGGGGGGGTGCTTTCTCCCTCTCCCTGTTTCTCTGCCAAGTGTAGTAGCTCTTTGGCAAATTTTTAAAAATACATAAAATTGAATTGTGTTGATAGTTGTACAACTCTGTAAACTTACATCATTGAATGAATGGCACACTTAATCTGATAGATCCGATGGCATGTAAATTATAACTAAATAAAACTTTTTTAAAAGGTATATCAAGAAGTAGATCAGATGCTGTCTAGGTCTGGGGGTGGTTCTTCGGTTCCTCTGTGGACACGCAGGTTTGTCTGTCCCACTTCCCATGATTTCCCTTTTGTTCCATTTCTACCTTTAAGAAGTTATGGGTATGGGAGGGAGGGGGCACATTTGTCAACCTGAGATGCTGTGCAGTCACAACAGACACCAGCCCTGGGAACTGATTATATAAAGGCAATCAGGCATACACCCTTCCAGATCTAAATAGAAAAGAAAAGGCTAACAGAACCGCGGCCTGGGGCTCTGGGCCTGGCACAAGCAGGGTCCTCCGGATTACTGTAAATGGAGCCCGCTGGGCATATCCGGACTCTGGCAAAAAACGAGGTCCGAAGGCCGAGTCTCTGAGGGCTAAAGAACCACCTCTTGACAGTGTTTCTTACAAACATAGCGCATACATTCACCAAATCCAGGTTGGTGTTACTTTGCCAGTGGAAACGGTCTGAAAGCGCTAAGTTGGGAAGTTTTGCTCCTGGTCGCCTGGCCAGGGTCGTGCGGCCCAAGGCCTCTAGGTGGGTGGCCTTGGTCCAGATCCCTCCCGGGCTGACAGCGAGGGCACCGCTCAGCCGTCGGGGGCTGTGCGTGCAGCCCTCCTCCCCAGCCGGAGCGAGGCTGCCGCAGGCCCCGGGCGAGGCCGGCTCCAAGTGCCGCCCAGGGCGGTCGCCGCAGGTGGGACAGCCTTCCCCACGCAGCTCAATCCGGCCTGCGCCCCGCACGTGGACTCGGGTCTCGCTCCCCCTGCCCTCTGCGCGTCCCCAGGCGCTTCCAGCCGCCCTCCCACACTTGCTCCGACGCCGGCCCCGCGTGGTCCTGGGACTCTGTGGGTCCTTCGAGCACCCCTAGGGACCAACACCGCGTCCAGGTGGCTGAGCCCAGTGCCGCGGTGGGAGGTGCCTCGGCACTGGCCTCACTCGGGGCGGAGCTGGCGGGCGCCGCCCCGCGCCCAGGGGCCCGCGCC